AAAAGTCCCAATTTTGAAGTAATTATATCAAACATGATGCAACATCATTTTTCCAAAACCTGAAGGGGGGAAATTTTCAATTAATTTTTGTTTGTTCCAATTTAAGAATTTTATTTTATTTGTCTATTACATACTTACTATTTTCATGTAACTTTTTTTTTTTCAGAATGAGGGGGGAGGTAATATCGACTTATGCAAAAATATTTTGGGGTAATGGTTAAAAAAGTTCCCCGACCGCTGCATTAAATGAACGTATCGCGCCTCATTTGTTTCAATTATTAGATACGGTTTTGTTCATTTTATCTATTATTTTTTTTACTAGATATAACGTACATATTTGTGTACATGCATAATCACATAATTTATTGATTTTTTTGGAAAATATATAAATATTAAGGCGTCGTAAGCAATACAGTTCTAAATTTCAAGAGTTTTGAAGTCAGTATTGAGATTTCACTCTAGACATTAATATTATTAGAAGACTATGATTATACTCTATTACTGCGATTCCACTATTTTTGACTGTGAATCTGCTGCTATCCTTAACACTGTTGTCATTGTCCATCGACTTGGCCGAAGTTCCATATGAACCTCATTCATTTGACTATCCATTTGTGATGAACGATGCCCTATTGCTGCAAGCACCGAGAGAGCTCACAAAGGGTCTGGCTTGACCAGGTTTCGAACCATTCGGCTATTAGTCGCCCATGTTTTTATATATGATTAAGTTTTCAAATTACCAAAGTAGAATTAGATCCGTCAATAGATGAAAGAAATTTCAGTATACAGGTATCCGGCGACTTACGAACTAGTTTCGTTCCAAAAGGTTGTTCGTAAGTCGGGGAAATTTTAAAAATTCCAAAATATACTTATCTTACAACGATTTTACTTTTATATATGTATAAATTTGAAAAAATAGATTAAAATAAACTTACTTAAATAAGCTTACTTAGAAATACTTTTCAATGTAGACATCAAAATTATTTAATTAAAAAAAAACGACAAAAGAAACAAATGCAACAAAATAAACATCTTCTAAAAATATTATATTTTATTAAAGAAATCAATCAATTCAATTAACAATTTTTCTTTGGACAGTTAATTTATTTATCACTATATATCACTGTATATTGTAACAAGTTAGAGTAAGTCGGGGGATACCTGTATTACTAGTGGCGACTGATTTCTAAATTTCAAGAGTTTGAAAGTCAGTATCGAGATTCCGTTCAAGACATTAATATTATTAGAAGACCACGATTATACTCTATTAGATTACAACTAGTTCGTAATTTATTGAAGGATTTTACTCCGGAATTAGCAAGAAATATTTTTAGATATATTTTTATATATGACTAACTTTTCAAATTACTAAAGTCGAATTAGATAGATGAAAAAAATTTCAGAATATTTATGTTAAACTAAATTGTAGACCAATTTCAACAAGGCATTACCAAAACGAAGTCATAATGTAAACATTTTTTGACTTGCTGTAGAAAAAGTTGCAGTGGAATATCAGTTTTATTGTATTAAGGACTATTAAACCTACATGAAAAAGAAGACTATATTGTTGGGTGATGTATGCATTCTCGTCCGATGTTAGATTATTATTAGTCAAGATATGTGTATCATTTGGAAAGTTAATTCCTGCGGCCGGCACGTATGATTGATAATGCCCGTTTTTGGGCGCAGCTTTGGGCAGCTACAAACTGACGAGATGAAAAGGACGGAACGTAAGCATAATGCGGGAACGGGAATTGGCCCGGTAATGCGATAATTATGTATGATATAATATCGGTAGTCATAATAGAAGCTAAGTGAGGGTCCATCGAAAAGCATAATCATTCCATATAAAGCACGTAAAATGATTGCTAAGTCGGAGTCGTGACCGGACAAGCCGTAACTCACTTTAGAATCGGATTACTTTGTGCTTTGCCACTTTCCGTTTTCCCTTGCACAAAAATTCCGTTTCGTCGCATCCAAGATATATAAAGATGCCTTTGCCGAACACGACAGACGACGTTTGTTAAGCTTTATACAGGGTGTCCCTAAAAAAAACTATTCTCAATTCACAATCGAAAAAAAAAACACCTATATCAATTTCATTTAAAAGCAAATCAATTGACAAAACGTTCGTTTTTTAAGGGCGTGATTCCTACCGAAACGACGCCCAAGCAAATATTATTTTAATTATACAATAGTTACGTAATTTCCGACGAATAAAAAAAAGCACTCGAAATCGACTCGTTGTTTTCGTAACATCTTGTATAAACACTTTTCGGAATCCTCTTTGTACCATAAATTGTATGATTTCAACTATATAAAGTTGTCTCTTCCGGGATTTAAATTTCACCATAGCTTATTATTTTTCAGAATAAGAGAGTGGAATCTTATAGAAATTTTTCTTTCTGAAATTCTATAATGTAAAGAAATAATATTGAAAGAATCAATAAGAAAACGCAGAAAAAAAATATAGTCGTGGATGAAGGCTCATCAATATTTAGTGGACGTGCCATGGACTGTTTGTCCTTAATTTGGGCCTCCGAAGCGGAAACGGTTTTATCTGTTCGGTCACGTAGTGGACATTTCACGCTGTCCCCTTTACATTATAGCGCCCTTAACAAGTCGCCCTATTCTTACATTTATGTGATGTACGTACAGCAAAAACACACTAGCATAAACACCATCAAACAAACAAATAGACAAAAAAGTTCGGTTGCAGGTTTCGTGCATTTTTTTTGAATAGAGGATTATTGGCAATAAAAGATGAATAACACCGGAAAAGGTCCTTTTGGTCCATTGCTTTTGGTTGCATTTGATATATCATTCTGGAACTTTTATTTTTTATAAAAGATGAAACTTCAGGTATAGGGAAAATGTGTCCCAAAATGGGTGTATATTCAAGAAATGTTTTTATTTATTGTGATAAATTTTACTTTCAAAGAGAAAAGCAATTCTTTACAATGCATAAATATTATTTATGAATATGAAGAATCTATCTTCATTTTTTTTTTGTATCTAGAAATAATAGGTAATAATAAAAGATTACAACATTTGTCAATAATTCATCGATTTTCAATTATAAAACTAAAATTGTACATTTGTTTTTTTTCCCGAAAATTAAAAAAATTTCTCTTTTCTACTAAACCCAATTAACTAATCAAATTTAATTTAGATATTTAAAAGTAGTAGATTTTCGTGGATGAATGAAATTCTTTTACTAAGTAATTAATTTATTAATAAAAAATAATAACATTCACTCTTTTAATTACGTTTTTTTGTAGGATGCAATAACATATATCACATGTAATCTTTATAAAATGATCATTAGGAATGATGGAACTGAGAGCAGGAAACGAGAGAGGACACGGTGCAAGAAGGGGCCGAAAAAAACTATGAGGCATTCGAGATTCTGCTTCGCGTTTTACAGAAAAGGGAACGAGGAAGAAAACAAGAACGGCGAAGGAACGAGTGAGTAAATTAAACGCGAAAGGTTGGATTGTTGGTTTGGTCGGATTCCGGGGCTGCGGAATTCTTGGCACAATGGCGTGATTAATTCATTCTTCTCGATTTACTTTCCTCAGCGTTTATTTCTCAGCATATTCGCTGCATTTGCGGACCCGGTGACTCGAGACCCGGGACCCGGTTCGTCGGGTCTCCGATCCAAATTACTCGGTCTAAATTTGCAACCAATTAGAAATACCGTT